ATTTAAAAAGTAATTTATTCCTGTGATGGCCAAGCTGAATTTTCAGCATCATTACTTCAGTCTTTAATGATCCTGTAGAAATTAAAATATGCCAATTTGCAGCTCAAGAAACATATATATATTTTTTAAATTATCAATGTTGAAAACATGCAGTTGCGCAGCATAGGCTACAAAACGAGATGATTTTTTTTAGGATGGTCTGAATGGAAAGTTCAAAAGAACATTTATCTGAAACAGAAATCATTTGCAACTTTATAAATGTATTTCCTGTCACATTTGATCAAATGTGTCATTGTTGAACAAAACAAGTATTAATTTATTTCTAAAAAGTAAAAAAAAAAAAAAAAAATCTTACTGACCACACACTTTTGAATGGTATATGCCTAATGCATGTTGCATCTTTTTCATTAATTATTTTGCATTTCATAATTGTTTTTAACCAAATATAAGACAACTTGCCTTCATGATCTTTTTATAACATAACTTTATATAGCGACTTTAATGTTCATGTCTACGAAGACTGACTATCAAAACATTCAACAACATTGAGAAAAAGTGATAGCTGTAGCCCTAGTCTTCACATGTGACAAACTAACGAATGTTATCATAAGTGTTATTCTATCATTTGTTATCACAACACACATTCTGTACACTTGATAACTGTCCTGTCCCGCAGGAGACACATTAGAGGTGATGATACAACACAGCACAGAGTAACTTTTTGAGCATTGTTGCTTGGGCACTTTACCATTGAAAATAGGCAATACATTTCTATCTAGATCATTTAAATCGGTCGCGGGCCCATTGTCTCATCTAGTTTCACATTGCCCAGCAGCACTGCTCAAAAAGTGAGTAAGTCAGCCTGAAACGTGCTTTAAAAGTGACAGGTGTTCAACCTTATTGTTGAATGAACTGTGGTGCTTTAATAAAAGATCGACAGCCTACCGTGAGGTGATGGTCCTTCCACTCTCCTGGCAAATCCTTCATATTTCCCCCCAACTTACTCCAGTCTTGTGCTGTAAGTTAGTGTAAAGGCAGTTTTTTTTTTTTTTTTTTTTTTTAGCAGACAATATCAAAATACGCCTCGGCTAGTGCTACGCTAGAATATACTGGTGATTTACTGCGGGTTGGTTAATCTTCTAATCTCATTTTGAGACGGGACTTGTGCTGCTGGCCCCTACGGAGGTCCTGGATTCACCAGCGGGCGGTTGTTAGCGGTGATGAAACCCCGAGAGGTGTGAAACAACCCATCGCGTCCCTACCATGCTGGGACTATGTCAACCCCATCCTCTCCAGTGCAGCTAAAATAACACTTTCTTCAGTCCAAACCATAGTTATACACATATGTATAAGAGAAAGCGTGTGTGAAGGATTAAACAAGAAAGATAAAGGTATTCGCGCGCCTCTTTAAACCAGTCAAGACACTCGCAGGCAGCGCGTGCTGGCGGAAGAAAGCTGTTACTGTTGCTATGGAGACTAGTACACACTTGTATGGTTTCTTTGACAAGTTTTTGTGCCAAAATGAGTCAGACCAAATAACATATTTATCATATTGTGTCGTTTTATAATGTCAATTTGCTCGCATTTGCAAATTACACTTATTTATGTTTTATTTTATGTATTTATTTACCAGGAGGACAGTGCATATTAACACCAGTAACATGCCAGAATTAGCCAAGGGCTAGTTTTTATCTGTTGGCACCCTAGTGAAAGCATAAAACCTTATAGACAATGGACAACTATAAAAGTACAACTGCAGCTGTGTTTGTCCTTCAGCAGAGGAACAATATGAAAGTGTTAAAACTCTAGAAAGTGTCTAAAACACTTGCAACATTTGCAAAACAACAAAAAAAATACATACTTTGTGCATAAAATGAGCATAAAATAGAAAAAAATATTATAATAATTAGGGTTTAGTAAAGATTTTTATAGAAAAAAACGGCATAGCTACAATTTGAAGTTTTTTTTTTTTAAATTACACAGAGAGAGCATTTCGCACAGTTGTGAAAAAAAAAAATCAATTTTGTTAAAATAAAGTTTTGTTCTGTTTTCATAGTGTGATATTTGGATTAGCATGGACATAGCGCTGGGCCTGACATGAACTCACTGTTTTTGTGCAAAACCATCACAATGTTGCAAATTGGAATAGATTTTAAAAATAGCTTTAAAAAGTTTTAAAAATATTAAATCAGAGGAGAAACATTAAGTTGTTCACATTTATAGAGGAGTAAACATACACAATATTGTAGTCTATAGAGGCTTTAAAACTATTTCAGTTTATAGGAAATTCAAGTAAAATACAATAAAATGCAAAGAAAATTCTCATATCAAACATGTATGATGCTTGTGAAAAACTCATGGCTCGTGTCATAAATAACACTTGCCTAATAATTTTTTCAATGCTTCTGTGTTAAAATTCCCCATATCTTTTTTTTTTATTAAGAACAGTTTGGATTTGACACTTGGATTTGCCTCATGACACTACATTGACATCACGAGTGAAGATTCCCATAGTAGAAGTATAACCTCTGGAATGATGGTGGAAAAAAATAAGAAATGTTTCCTTAGTAAACAAATTGCTCTTATAAGACCACAAAAGAAATTTCTCTCCTGTATCAAATTTTCTTTTGAGAAGCGATAACCCACAAAATTACCATGCTCTGTCAGAAGCAGAATAGCAAATGATAAATCACTGTCCTTTACTCCTTTCAGTAAATGCTATGAACATTTTATGGGGGATTAAAATTGACATTTAAGAATATAAACTCATACTTACAATTCATATTAAAATTAAACATTCTCAGCAGGAATATGTGACTAAGTGTGTTTACATGCACTTTAAAAGTTCTAATTTACTTCTAAAAAACAACAATTCACAATTTATTAAATGTCATGTAAATGCTTTAGTCTGCCTGAAATCGTGCAGTCCATTTTTTTTTTTTTTTTGCAAAGTCAAGCTCAGCTCAACTTTTTCCAGCATGTATAAACAATATTCAGACTGTTGGCCTCAAAAGTTGCTCCAAAACACATGATGTAGCCTACAACGTGCTTTTACTTGGAAATACATCACAATCGGGAAGAAAAGACAATCACAGCTCTGGTTTCAATGCGACTTTAAATATTCAATACTTTTGTGAATTCAGTACTTTTGTGAACTTTTTGCTTGACTACGCAAAAACCTGCTCTATGTCAACATATTAGTGTCTCTCATATTCAGTGTCATCATCCTTCAGAAATAAATCTAATATGCTGATTTGTAGCTAAAAAAAACATTTCTGATTATTATTAATGCATGAAACAGTGGTTTAATATTTTCCAGGATTCTGTGATTAATAGAAAGTTGAATGAATATAGCATTTATTGCATTTATTAAATTTATTGCCAACACTTTAACATTATTTCTCATTTCATTTGTTAACATTAAAGTATTAACTACCATGAACTAACAGTGAGCAATGCATTTGTTGCAGTATTTATTAATCTTTGTTAATGTCAGTTAATAAAAGCAGTTGTTCATTGTATGTAAATGTTAGTTCACTAATGTTAACTAATGAAACCTTATTGTGAATAACCTTATTTATTAAATAGAAATCTCTTGTAACATTTTAAATGTCTTAATTGTCACTTTTGATAAATTTAATGCATTCTTGATAAATAAGTATTAATTTCTCTCTTTTTTTCACCTTATCAAAAATGTTTGAATGATATCATTGTTTCCACAAAAATGTTAAGCAGCAAAAACTGTTTTCAAACTTGATGATAATACCAATAATATTAATAATTGTTTCTTGAGCAGCAAATCAGTATAATATTAAAATGATTTCTGGAGGATCATGTGACACTGAGGACTGGAGTAATTATGCTGAAAATTCAGCTTTGCCATCACAGGAATAAATTATATTAAACAGTTATTTCAAATGGTCATACTTCATATTAGTGTTTTTACAGTATTTTTGATAAAATAAATGCAGCCTTGTTGAGCAGAAGAGAGACTTCTTACAAAAACATTTTTTTATGTTTCCAACAGGTAGCTAGGCTACTGTATAAATTAATAAAATGCTTAATCTATTTCACATGTAGGCTAATATTTCTTTTGATGAAATGTTGAACCAAGTTTCTAATGTGCAGTTCTGAGTGACAATGAGGTCCAAAAGTAGCCAAGACTAAACAGAATGGATAAAATATAATTTCGTTTAAAAAAATAATGAATAAATAAATCTAGCATTCTATCAGACAGAATGTCATTTCTTATACGCATATAAATAAACTGTGATGAAAAAATATCATAATATTATTGCTAAAAATAATTAAATCCCAATTTCAATTTAATTTTGTTAGCAGTCTAACACCCAACATTATGTTTGACTCCTCTTCTCCCTCAGGCATCGCAGTTTTAGTGAATGTGATGTGCATGGTGACTGTCTTATGTTGAGGCATCGCGGATTCTTTTGCAGCCTCTTCGCCTTCATCATCGATGTCTTCTACAAAATCCTCCCGATCGCTGAACAAAGGCGTATTCAACGTTTCCTCGTTGAATTTTTACTACTGTATTTAGTTAGACAACTAATTGAAATCCCTATGGTAGAAATGCGTCTGCTGACTGCCTCCTATCTGCGCAGTTAGGAACAGTCTCGCTGTGTCCATGAGTGTGACTGAGAGGCGGTCACTCTATTGAAGAACATTAAAGTGCGCTGAATTTGCGCATACGGAGCCGGAAGCGTCAACGCTCTGTTCGTATTTTCGTATGTCCTTTCCAGCACGCCGTACTGAGCGAAAGTAAGCGCAGCCAACTTTGACACCAAAATGTTATTGTGATGCCTGAAAGGGTGGTTTTTCCTTCAGTACTGTAAATAATTTTTTTTCCCCCACTGGCTTTTGAATGACTTATTGGAGTGTACAGATGCAGATTCAGATCAAGGTTTTAATCATTTCTTCATACTGGCGTAACGTTACTCTGTTGTGAATGTATCAAATTAACTTCTTGTTGTTGCCACGTGCAGTTGGATTTGATGTGCTGGTGACACTGGGATTTTGATATCATGGACGGTGACTGCTTATCTTTGCTACCAGCGGTCTGTCTGGTACTGGCCGACCCGAAGCAGTCTCCACCTGATGACACCTCGTTAGAGAAACTGCTCGATTGGTTCAAAGAGCTGCACAGCCAGAGTGAGTAAACTGGAATCAAATTAATACCAATTTTTGACAAGTTCAGACCAAGATTTGGTAGATTAACATATTATATATAGAGTGCTTGTAGTGTTTGAGGGAAATTATTTTACTTAAGTGTTTATACACAACTATCAGTGTATACACACACATCTGTCTATTTATACACAACGATATTAGTGCTGTCAACTAATTTTCACGTTGACTCTCCAAATTGACTTAAAAACAACATAGAAACTATATTTTAAATATTTGTTAAATGGCATCTTATTACTAAGTACAATGAAGGTCAGTATCATCGATACCAATACTGCTACTTTTGTGTTTTAGTTTTTCAATTTCTGGGGATGGAATGAGTAATTCTAGCCATTCAACATTACAGTATAATTGAAATCATTATTTATTTTAACAATTAATAGGCTTAAGTTTATTTAGTGTTAATTTTACAATAAGTAAGAAAAGGAATAGTTAAATAATTTGGTAACTTGATACATAAACATAAATTTGATTTATGTTTTTATGTGAAATTCAATCCTCTTGTCTTGATACATCAGTAATGCTAGTATTTTTACTTATTTTTGAATGTATACCTGTGTGTCTTAATTATTGAGACAATCACATTACTGAATTGATAAAAAAACACCACCAGATGGAGCTTGAAACATGTAAACATAAGGGTCTTGCATATCACACACAATATGCATGTACATATAAGTATGTGCACATACTGTCTGATAGTGACTACTATGTGTTTCCTCAGGTAATGAACAGGTTCTTTCGCGACATCAGCCGTGCCTCAAAGAGTTCATTTCCAATGTTTGTACGTCTAAAACTGCAGATCCTGTTATCTTCTCTTTCACCCTCAAACTCACTGGACTTTTGGCTGGCACCAAGCAGGGTTTCCACTTTCTTGAGGTGAGGTAGTTTGCACTATATTGTCACAATATCAGTGACAGATTATTTGCTTGCTCATTGTAGTCTAGGATAGTGGTTCTCAACATTTCTGAATTCAAGACCCCCCAATATATTAGAAAATACGTGAAGGCCACCCTGACCCAAAATATGTCTGGATGATGCTTGTTTTCAAACTTTACTTACAGAAACTAGGATTGGCAATATATTAAAATAACTGTTTTAAAAATGTTAATGCTTTATCATCCAAATAATTTACATGACTTTTCTCATTATTTGTGATTATAATTTTTGAAATACTGATTTTTTTTTTACTCACAAATGTATAAAAAAAAATTATATTCATTATAAAAAATGTGCATTACATTTTAGGATCTTATTAATTTACATTAATTTTCCTGGTCTAGATATCACACTTTTAAAATTACCATATTTATGCAGGTTTCCAAGACTGCGCTCTTACTTAAAAATGTTCCTGGTTCTTCCTCAACAACTGCATTTTATTTAAAAGTAAGAAATATTTTTTACAGCCACGAACAGCATACGAAACAGGCATTTTTCTTAATTCTCATTATGAGAAGTGTGGGAAAGTTGCCCTCCGCACTATGGCGTCTATGTATTTATTATGTCTGTGTGTAATGACCGCGTGCACTTCTCAGCTGCTCCAGCAAAAGTCTGGAAAAACTATCGGTGTGGATTTTTGCCGATAACTATATACTTTTTGCCGATAACGATAGTTCCACCAAATAATTATCGGTACCGATATATCGGCAAAACCGATGAATCGGTCGACCTCTAGTCCCTTGGTTGAGAACCACTGGTCTAGCACTAACCCCAAAAAGTACTATGGTATTCTTTGCAGTTTGTAGTGTTTTCCAGTCACATCATGTTTTTGAGTTCTCTGTTTTTGGAAATAAGGAGGGAGGTCTTTTGGTGTGTGTGTTTGAGCGGGAAGCCTGGTTTGTGTGTGATCTTTGGGAGGATGCCTCAGTTCGCAGTGGCTGGCTGCAGGGACTGTTGAATATGCTGAAACATCGGCAAGCTCTGGACTTCATCTGTGGAAACGGTGAGAATTGTCATCATCTATCATCTAATCCAAAATGGGCATAAAAATGTGCATAAAAATTGACTATAATAAGAGAGTTAATGACCAAAACAAAATATTGCAAAATAATATATGCTTTAAAATGCAATATAAGAACTACTTTCATTTAAATGGCAGATGAAATTAATGCTTTTATTCACCAAAGGATGCATTCCAGTGATCAAAAGTGTCAGTAAAGACTTTTACATTGTTTCAACAGATTTTTATTCAAAATAAATGTTTTCCATTTTTCAAATAATCCTGATTTTTTTTTTTTCCACAAAAGTATTAAGTAGCACTGTTGTTTTTATCATTTATAATAATAATTATAAATGTTTCTTGAGCACCTAATCAGCATATTCAAATGATTTATGAAGATCTTGTATTATAATTATTATCAATAATAATAATAAAAACATTTGTAACCACCCCAAACCTTTTAACAATAGTGTACATAAACATTCACTCTATTGATTTAATTTTTTGAATATCAATTTATGAGAGGTCATCACATACAAGTAAACACTGTATTGCATTGTGTTGTTTAATTATGTTGATTCTAGACTGTTGCCTGTTAGGTGGTGTTTGGGTTCAGATGAAACCATGAAAAAAGATTTTTTAATCTTTAGTCTTTTCAAGTCTTTTATTCTGTTCTATCCACAGGACTCATCAAAGTGATTCTCCAGCTGCAGAACGACGGGAGTCTGTTTGTTGCCTGTCTGGCTAATCAGCTTTTAGTGCACATCCTAAACCTCCTCTCTTCATCAAACATGACCAATGGCAGTGATGCAGTGGGATCAAGTGAATCATCTTTCAGCCCTGATTGGGTCTCGGCTTCCTCAGAGATTATGAATGGTGTGGTGGAGGCGTTGAGGTCAGATGATCATCCTCGGGTCCTCCAGGGCTTACGGCTTCTGACATCGGTTCCCTCTCAGTGTGGAGAGCCTATCAGAAGCACGCTATGGAAAGAAGTGCTTGTACCTCTGGAAGTCTTGATCAACAGGGGGTCTGAATCATTGACTCAGCCTCTGATGACTGTTCTTCAAGCTGCTGCGAGGTGAGTTGAGTAGGACATTTCTTACATTTTATATGTATTAATTTGAGCTAAAATATTTTTATTACAAAAAAAAAACACATTATAATAGCATATAAATGTTAATGCTACAAAAAATCAATGACATTATCCCTTATGTAGTGGAAATTGTGTACCTAGATCTTAAATAACAATTAAAGAACAAATGAAGATCTCGAAAGTCATAAGTATACGCATTTATTTCTTGCAAGAAAGGCAGTTCACACACAGATGGAGTCTGATATGAGAATCACAAAAGTCTTTTCCTTTTACCAAGTTTATATACCCAAAAGATCACCCTCCTTTTCTTACTAAGGCTCCTGCATGTACACAGAGTTTCAGTTTCATCACACGTCTCATGCTTTGTCTTGCGCTAAAATGCACCCTAAGTTATTTATTGTCAAGAGAGCAGATCCGAAAATAGATCTTTTCCGAGAATCTACTTTTGAAAGGACACATCTATTGTTTAAAGAGCATATCTATCTAAAATAAGAAAACATCTGTTTTATAAAACACACAAGCAGATATATGTTTAAAAAGATACATGAAAAAGAAAATTTCCTTTACACTTACATATTTCATTAGTTACATTTAATTAATTCTGATTGTTTGTAGTTAAAGTGATAAGTTGCTTTAAAGAAGAAAAAAAGCTAAAATAAATGTAAAAATGACAATGTTATAGTTTATTTCAATTAATCATTATGGAAAGTACATACGTTTTATTGTCTTCTCTTAAATATTTATTCAGTGTAATGCAAGGATGCAGAGAATTGTTTATCGTCTGTTTCAGGACGCCTCTGCTCGGACAATCGGAGTATAAAGTAGAGGAATTATTGGAAGCCATGTTGGGTTCTGCAAGCAAAAATGAGAGTTTTCGGTGTGCTGCACTTATCATAAAGCTGGAGCAATGGTGACTACAGAAGACTTTTCACATATGCATAGTGCAGCATTAGGGGTGGGTGAGGGTGATAAACCGATAAAAATTTGAAATGATCATCTCTATCATGGTTACGTTCATGTGACATTGCAGTTCAGCGTGAAAGTTTATTATTGGCCAGCTCTTTCAAGCCTTACCAGTTTAATCATTCATGTGATTTGTTCTGACGGGTTGTTTTCTGAACGATCACACACAGCATGTGGATGCTGAACTGAGTTCTCTTTCACTTCTTATGCGATTAAACTGTCATATACACTAGCATTACTTGTGCTGTGATATCAATATTTTAATGATATCTTATATTTCCGCCAAAAATAAGTATTTTTAACGTGATATTAAATTTCAAGATTTTGGCATCATCCACCCCTATGCCACATACACACATTTGAAATGGCAGCCAGTTATGTATTGTGTTATTTATTTTTCTCTCTCTTTATCCTTTAGTCCTGAGGTTTTAAAGAGGAAGGCCATTGATATCGTCTTGCTCCCCCTGCAGTGTGTGTCAGCACAGTCTCAAGACACTGGTATCACACAATCACTGAACTGTGCCTTTTATATTGTAAAAACCTTGCAGTTGTACTTACAGAAGTCTTCATATCTCCAGCAGAAAAGATGAATTTAGCCCTAAATGAACAGCTATCCCAGAAAGCCTCATGTATTTCCCACCTCATGCAGAGTTTATCAAGTCTAGAAGAGCTGACATATACAGTAAGTAGACTTTTGCTTCACTCTCAAGGCTCTCTTTGGGCTGGTGCACACAGAACCTGTTTTTAGATTTCCCACTGTGCTACTTTTTTAACGTGCACTAAATGGATATCTTTGCATCTCACTGCACTTTTACAGCGTCTCACACAAAAGCGAAGCCTTTTTTTAAGGAGATTGTGTCAAGTTCAAAGTTTAAGTTCCAAAAATGATCTCGAAATGCAGCTGTCTTTCTCTCTTTTCACTGCAGTTGAAAACTTTTGTTCGGTGTCCTGCGTTTTTGAAAGCAACAATAAATTCTGTGTAATCGGTTCCTTTCCTTGGTTTTATTTATTTTTTGTTTTTGCACATTGTCCATGCAGATTTTGTTTTAAAGTCTGTGGAATTGATTTAAATATGGTAGAATGTGTATATTACAATGAAATGTGTACCTTTCTTTTGTTAGAAATACCAGTTTGAAGGCATTTCCATTCACTCGGTCACCAGTTCTGTGGTGTTGCTTCTGAGGATTTGCTCTGGGCATTGCCCCTCCTCTTTGATTCAAAATAATGCCTCCACCCATCTGATTGGCTGCTGCAAGGTTCAGAGGTGTGGCCTAGAGACATTAGGTGCTCTCAGCGTGTATGACGGTAAAGACTCCTTCAGATAGAATTTGAGTTTCACCTTATATATTCATATGACAAGAATGAGTAAAACATAATTAATTACAAAAAAGATAGCATTCAATCACACAATGTTTATGCATCAATACACTACTGTTGAAAATATTTAAAGGTAATTAAAAAAAAAGGCTCTTTTTCCCAAACTCTTTTGTTTGGTCATAAATAGAGTAAAAACATAAATATAGTAATATTATATTCTATATAGTAATATAGTATTCTTGTGATGGCAAGGCTGAATTTTCAGCATCATTACTCCAGTCTTCTTCAGAAATCATTTTAATATGCTGATATGTTGACAGTTGTGCTGCTTAATATTTTTGTGGACACACTTGATACATTTCACTATTTTTATTTTTATTTTTTATGAATAGAATGTTCAAAATAATAGCATTTATTTGAAATGTTTCAACAATGTAAACATTTTTACAGTCACACTTGATCAATTCAATAATCCTTGCTGAATAAAAGTATTAATTTGTTAAAAAAAAATCATAAAGTGTAAATGTATGTATAAAAAAACCTTACTGATCAGAATCCAGAGCCTACTGAATTTGTATCATTGACCTTGAAAGTGATTTGGTATTGAATTGGTGTTGGCTGTAATATCTGTTTAATATTTCTACTTATAGAAAATTTGAATATAAGGAAGGACATATTTGGTGTCCTCTTGGACTATCTACAGAGTCCAGATTCCCATGCTACAGTAAGTATGCACATTTCCTTATATCTTGCTAATATTACATTTTAAAGCAGATCTGTTGTTGAAACTCCTTATTTACTTGAAGATTCTTGTGATTTCCAAGGTCTTGAAGAAAACATATCAGGCCACTATGAGCTGGATTGCGGTGTGTTCGCCCTTCCCTGATCTCCTGGAGTTTATCAGCCATGGTGAGGAGCACTTCAGCCTCATTTGTAATGTAATGTGAACATTTTTATAAAAGGGGTCTATTTAAAAACATTTAATCAAACAAATACATCATTCCTTTATTATTTAAAAGGATTGTCCAACCAAAAAGGAAAATTCTGTCATCATTTTCTCTCCATCATGTCGTTCCAAACCTGTATGACTTTCTATCTTCTGCGGAACAAAGAGGAAGATTTTTTAATTGAAGAATGTTGGTATCTAAACCGTTTCAGGTCCCATTGACTGCCATTTGTATGGGAGAAAATATACATGTATATAATGGAAGTAATTGAAACTATTTGGCAACCAACATTGTTCCACAGAAGAAAGAAAGTATTAATAGATACAAAAATGATCGACACGACATCATGCACATTTTAAAAACAGATCGACATCAAAAGACATCACAGTATGTGGTCATGTGTGTTCTGCAGACCTCTTTCCCGTATTGAAGAAACGGATGTGTGATTTGCGATGGGAAGTGAGAGACTCCACACTAGAGTTCATCACCCAGCTGACTAGTGCCCTCAACGGTACCACAAGCATATATCGTTACTATTTCATCTTTTGCTCTGCCGAGTTTTTTAGGGATTGTTTTTATTGTAATTGTACTTTTTGTCAGGTAGCAGTGGTTTCATTGAAGCTCTCCACACCAGCGGCATGGTCTCCATTCTCCTCTCTTCACTGGCAGATTCAGAAGGCTATGTAAGAGCTAGTGCTGTGGCTGTCGTCGGGGAGGCAGTTACCTCTTCTCTCCATCAGATGGCGCTTGTGAGCAACAGCAACCTTCTGGTGAGACAGTTCCACTTTCAAATATGCACATTTTTCTTTTGCAAGTGATGAAATTACTTGTTTCTGATCAATGTAAAACCTGTCCCCTTAAAGGAGAACTCCGGCACAAAATGAACCTAGTCGACCTTTTCATGATGATCGAATGTAAAGAGTTTTATCTCTAAAAACTGTTAAGCGTATACGCTAGTATATGGGGGCATTTAATAAGTAAAGAGAAATCGCTAGTTAATACCACTAACAAGGCTCAAAATAGCCCCGCACTAACACAAACATAATGAGGGTTCATACATGCAAAACACAGCATTGAGAACTTTGTAAGTGTGCAGACCGTTTAATAAGAAGATATGGAAACACTTTACAATAAGGTTCATTAATTAAAAATTTGTTAATGTATTAACTAACCATGAGCAATACATTTGTTTTGAGCAATACACACTGTTTTTGTATCTTTGTTAACGTTAGTTAATACAAATCCAGCTGTTCAATGTCAACAAGATTTTATTAAAATATTAGTGAATGTTGAAATTAACATTAAAAATGATTAACAAATGCTGAAGAAGTATTGTTCATTCTTAGTTAATGTTAACTAATGTAGTAACTAATTAACCTTATTGTAAAGTGTTACCGAAGATATTTTATAGAGACAGTCCACTTGGAAAACAGTCTTGACTAGTCGAACCACGACCAATGTGCCAAGTGAGCTCAACTGAATGAACGGCATTCGTGGTTCGACTAGTCAAGACTGTTTTTTCCAAGATGGCTCCTGCCCGTATACACGAAGTGGATTGTCTTTGAAAGTGTACAAACCGTTTAATAAGAAGATATTTTATAAAGACAGTCCACTGGAAAAACATTCTTGACTAGTCGAACCAACCAATCAGCAAACAGCATGTCCCCAGCATCTCCATAGGTACTATGTTAAAAGAATAGTTTAAAGGGATCATTTCTTATCCCTTTGAAGAATGTCAGTAACCAAATAGTTAACTGGAAATATTGACTTCCATAGTAGGAAAAAAATACCACCCAAAAATGAAAATTCAATGAAATTTCACTCAACCCAAAAGTTACTTAAAGGGATACTCCACCCTAAAATGAAAATTCTGTCCTCATTTACTCACCCTCAAGTTGTTTTGGGTGGTTTCTTATTTTTCTTCACGTGTTGTTGAACTTTAGGAGGAGGCTTTGACGCAGATGATGACCATTCTCTCTCAGGACACGGAGGGCTTCCCGCGTAGAGCGGTGGTCAAAGCCTTCACATCATGGCTGAAAGGATCACACCTCGTAACAGCTGTGCACCCGTTCCTGAGCTCCGTCCTGTCACTGGGATGCAATGATTTTGACTGGGAAGTGAAAATGCACACACTGGAGCTGGCAGAAGTGTTGATGGAGAAGACACTGACCTGCTGTCCATACGCAATCCAAAACTTTGGTTCCTCTGAAAACACACACTTGATGCAGGCCTTGAGCAAACTGAAAGAATTCGGGCTGTTTGACTTGCTTTTTAACAGCTTGTTTGACTGCGACAGACCTGTGTGTGAGAGAGCCTGTGCACTCTTGCTCAAACTCAGATCACTTACATCTGAGAGCGCAGACTTCTCAGATGTAGATTCCACTCTCGTCTTAAATGTAAATGGGAACAGATGGGGGGATGAGGTGCAGAGTAGATACCTCAACACACAACAGGCCAAAGGATCTGTGTGCGAATCTGATAAGAGAACAGACAGTGATCTGCACTGCATCAAAGATATTAGCCTACCCATGATACTGCACATACTTGATCTAGATGACATGCAGAGGACGTTGAAGTTGAGTAGTGATCATGTCGTGAATTCGCCCCGATCGCTAATGGAGGACATTCTTTCAGCAGCACAGCAGAGTGAGGACAATATAGTAGATTGCTATTGAGACTATACTGTTACTATTTGAGACTCTTTTTTTTAGGGCCATTTAATAAATAATGATGTGCAGTCTGGTCAATTTGTTGTATATAGTCTAAAAGTCCATTTAATTTTTACAACCTGTATTTTCAGAGTATTTTGGATAGCCTACAAGGGCTCACATGTTCATTGTGCAAACCTTTATGACATATATGAGGAATAGGCTGAAATTGTATATTTTACAGTGAGTGCTTTATGCCTGAAAATTGTGCCCAACATTATGTAGTAAACATAGCATCAAAGATATTATCTGCAAGTAATCCTGCAAGACAGAAAGGAAGGTCATTTTATTATATTACATGCAAACAGAGTTAGGTCATGAGGTGTGGAGAGACATTGGAACATGAACAGATAGGGTCCAATTTGTAATAATTTTAAAGGGATACTCCACTTTTTTGGGAAATAGGCTCCTTTTACAACTCCCTCAGGGTTAAACGTTTGAGTTTTACAGTTTTCTAATCCATTCAGTCGATTTTCTGATATTTAGAAGAATATCAGTAACCAGACAGTTTCTGGTCTCATTGACTTCCATAGTAGGAAAAAAATATACTATGGAAGTCAATGAGACCAGAAACGGTCATATTCTTTTAAATATCAGAAAATCGACTTAATGGATTCGAAAACGGTAAAACTGAACTGTTTAACTCTGGGGGAGTGGTAAAATGAGCCTATTTCCAAAAAAAAGTGGAGTATCCCTTTAAAGAATACAATGCAATTAAAATAAACCTTCTGAAAGTGTGAATTATTAAGATTTTAAGACTATATTTGTACTGATTGGACAATGGGTTTTGTAAGAAACGTTTTAAGGCACAACAAATGCTTGATAAAATGTTTGATTTAAGGGTTAAACCCAACGCATACGTGCCATTGCAAATATAATTAGCCGACGTCACTCTGTAGGCCAAAACGCGGTTAGTTAGCATTTTAGCACTACAGGTTCCCTCGCTCTAAAGCCTATGGGATTTTTGAATGGGTTTTTGCTAAATCGCCTGAAATAAGGTCTGTGGTGAACAAAGCCTCTAAATATTTTCACGTTTTGATCTGACATAGAACACACAGTTATAACCTGCTTGTGGTTTTTTAAACTTTATTGTGTCTGATTGTGTTTTTGAAAATCTTTATATAGGCTTCAAAATGTATACATTTTGGACTTACTTGTAAGGATTATCTTGCTAGACAAAACGTGTTAAAATAGATCTTATTTTTTGCGATTTTCCAAAACTCTATGGAGAAAATGCATTGCTTTTCGACCGAGGGAACCCATGCGCCGCTAGCTTCCGAGTCGTCCTACAAAGTGACGTCATCACTTCGGCACTCTATGAACATTGGCATGCAGGACTTGCATTCTACTAGATCCCCTACCCTTTTGAATGAAGCCAAAGCCGACAGGATATTTAACTCAATCGTAAATAGGGGCTCAAAAGGGCACCTATGGAGTGCTCTGAGCGTTAGAGTGAAGTCCCAAGAGGGTACAGTGTGCGGATTACGAGGCAGATTTAGCCTCCTGGCACCTTTAAGGAATCTGATGAACAGGTCATGCTTTCCTAATGACTTACCTTCTACTGCATCGTGATGAGCAGCTATTGTGGCAACATACACTTTGAGTGTGGAGGAAGACAGCCATCGCTCCAACACATCCTGCTGGAAGGAAAGCTCGACTGATCAGGCAAATTCAGGGGTGTTCCAGGTGGGAAAAACACCAATCGACAAACAGGTTACACTTCAACGGATAGAGGGGGCAAGTGAAAGTGATGGTGTCTATCACAGCCTGTGTAGGCCACCTAGAACCTCCGCATCCCGTACAGGGACCTGACATGGAGTCTCCAGAGGTCTGGACGCAGGTGCCATAGAGTGCCCTGTCTTTGAGAAAGCAGGTCCTTCCTCAGAGGAATGGGCCAAGGAGGTGCTGTCGCAAGGAGCATAAGTTCTGGTAACCAGGTCCGGTTGAGTCAGCACAGCACAACTAGCAAGACCTGCTCCTCGTTCTCCCTGACTGTGCGAGAAAGCTCACTGGGGCAAATTTGTGAAGGCCCTGGGGCCAGCTGTGCGCCAGTGTATCCGTGCCGAGGGATCCTCCGGTCAAGAAATAAAACAAATGTTAATAGGTCATGTCCAGAGAGGCAAGCAGATCTATCTGAGCAGCTCCGGAGATTCCCCATATCAGCTGAACCGCTTGGGGATGGAGACGCCATTCACCCGGAAGAGGTGGCTGCCGTGAGAGCTCGCCGGCTGCACAGTTGAGCACACCGGGGATGGATGTGAATGGCCCGAAGCGATCTCAAATGCTTCTGACTCCATAGGAGGAGATGGTGGGTGAGTCGTGACATACAATGGGAGCGTAGACCACCTTGACAGTTGATGTTCGCAACGGTCGCAGTGCTGCGGTGTCAGAAATCTTTCATTTTAAATTCCTAAATTTGGTCAATAAATTCAATTATTTCGAATAATAAGACACTATAGGGCTGTTACCCAAGGGGCTGATCAAATTGAATCATTTACACTGAAAAATTACAATTGCATAAAATAATGTTGTGAAATTGATTTAAATTTACGTATAAGAAACGTTGGAAAGAATGACACTACTTTTAAACATTTAACACTAAACCGCCAGTAGGTGGCGCGGCAGGCGACCGTCATAATGAGTGAGTCATTGATTTATTCATTCAAACGATTCATTCAAGAATGAGACAGATGTTTATGAATGGGTCATTGAATCTTTGACTCAATCGATTCGTCCAAAATGCTGAATCATTCAGTAATGAAAACAGGTTGAGTGTTGTGACATGCGCCGTGGTTCTGCTGTGATTTTTGTTTGGAACTATTTTCGCTGCTGAAACAGAACAAAAACAGCCAATATTACATCTAAAATGTAAGTGATTTAATTTTAACTGTTTATTGAACTGTCGTAGGAAATCAGTGTCACATTTTCAATCGTGATGATGTTCAGGAAAAATAAATGAGGTTACTTAACATGTGTCAAAATATAAAAACATATAGTATTGTATCTAAAACATATGGATGTACAGTAGGTTTATATGTATTATTTAGTTAAAAAAAGAGCATGACATGATATCATGCACATCTTATAGGGCTATCTTAGAGCTTGAGGCAGCCCTGATCTGAAGCAGGGTTTCATGCTGGAAGACACAAACACAACAACACCACCAAACTCACTAGCTACTGATGTACTGCAGTACCAAAGTTTAGCCAATGGATGGCGCACTATACCAACCGATCTGTTCACAGCGATTAGCTATCATCAATCTGCCATTAATCCACCCATGGAATTTTATTTATCCATAAAATGGCTGAATTAAGGGAGCACATTGTATTTTATTATTTTGTTCATTTTTAATATATATATTCAAATTTTGTTCAAAACTTAGCTTTGACTTTCTGAATCTTATTTTTTTTTTCAGGCCAGATGTTTCTTATTATCACCAGATGTCAAATCACAAACAAGTCTGTTGCCTACTTCAATCAAATGATTAGAAAATCAATACAGTCTGAGGTACATTAGCTTTGAAGGGCGTATTTTATCTGTTCATTCACTGCTTTATCACATTTTAGACAAGAGCTTGGCTAATGAAAAAGCTTTCAGGCTAATTAGCATAATATGAGTTCTTTTTATGAACCTTTTTATGAGCCATTCTGCATGCGAGTCTCTCACTCCATGTGCGAGTTAGTGTGCGCTCATGTGAACGCAAGTGTGAAATGCACCACCTAAATACGGCTTTTTAAAGCCTCCCGGTCACACATAACTCCCATGATGACCACCACAACAAATATATTTTTTTAAATTTAAAATGAATATGCTCCGGTCCTCTCTTGTTGTCAGGCCTTAATGGCGTTTTCATCATGTTCTTAGTTCCATCATTATATGACTGATGACTGCACAGACACACTTTCACTCCCTGTCTGCAGGTCAAATCACAGCTTGGTGTGACCCAAGGGTGACGTACAGCATGGTGGAAAGTGCATCAGTTGGTAACAACTGAAAGACGGTGTTAAAATAAAAAGCTCTTTCCTGAATCTGATGTTTTACAAAGTTGCAATGCAAGATTGATCATCTTGCATTGCCACTGTGTAAAACATCAGATACAGATATATAAATTCAGATATGATCTATTTCTGATTGAGGTCTCTTTTTTTTTTCAAATTCATATGAAAATGTTCCTGTAAAATTTGCAACTGTTGATCTTTGAACACACTAAAAAAAGGGGGAAAACTTTTTGCCTATTTGTTTTGTAAGCAGATGCCTGCAGATAAATAGCTGGGAGCTATTAGCTGGAAAACACAATGGGATCACAGCATGAAGCCTTACCAAGCTCAATTTAAATTTGATAATACCATAGAAAATGAGTGTTTTACACAAGTTTATGTCTAGGGGCTTCCCAAAAAAGGCCACTTGGAGACTCCGAATGACCCTTGTGAGCATAAACACAAAAAATGCTGCTATTCTTGAATGCTTTACTGTAGGCCTACAGTCACAATTTTGGACTCTAATGAGAGATTGCACTTAGAGCTATTCTCTTCCTTATCCAGATTCACTGTCAATAACTGCTGACACATTCATCTAATTTCTGTGTAGGACAGACATTTTCAGTAGCACCTGATTGCAATACACAAGATCCAGGGGGGCGGAGTTGGATCCAGATCAAAGGGGTGGAGATGGCTAGGATTAGGGGTGGGGTTAGGGATCAGGGGACTGAGATGGGTAGGGTTAGGGGTGGGGTTAGGGATCATGGGGTGGAGATGGCTAGGATTAGGGGTGGGGTTAGGGGTCAGGGGGTGGAGATGGGTAGGATTAGGGGTGGTGTTAGGGATCAGGGGGTGGAGATGGGTAGGATTAGGGGTGGTGTTAGGGATCAGGGGGTGGAGATGGGTAGGATTAGGAGTGGGGTTAGGGGTCAGGGGGTGGAGATGTGTAGGGTTAGAGGTGGGGTTAGGGATCAGGGGGTGGAGATGGCTAGGATTAGAGGTGGGGTTAGGGGTCAGGGGGTGGAGATGGGTAGGATTATGGGTGGGGTTAGGGATCAT